CTACTGAACAAATCTTCCGGGCTCGGAAGACTAGACACCGGACTAGATTGCGGCTATGATTATGTAAGAATTTTTTCCACCATATGATATGTAAGAGCATGACTAGGAATATCCGAAAACAATTGTTCGCTCACCGACTCGTTTTCTCAATATTCATAATTTCCTCTAGGCTTTATTTGGTGCATAGTAGCGAAGCTTTGAATCCGCTAGGACAGTCGTGTATCTGATTGTTTGCGCAACTAAATAAACGGTAATATTCTAAAGTACACTGAACAGATAATCTTGTGCAATTTTTCGTGCAACAAATTCTCCCAAGATCTCTCATGTCCGAACGCGTCCTGAATCACACACATCGATGACACACAATGAACGAATCCGATCAACAGGCTTTCAGGTCTGTTTGCGTGTTTTGTTGAGGTGCATGTTAAATTAACACATTAGCAGTTATAGGCCACAGATCGTGTGCAAACATGGGGCTTATAACCAGAACACTGATGAGCACCACTTGTTGGCGCCGCAGTGGGAGAAGTTGGAGGTAGAGCGATAGGCGGGAATCGGAATCCACGGGTGAGACGTGGGATAAAATCTGTGACGGGATCCGCAAGAGGCACGGCGATGAAATTAAAAATTATGGTCACGTATAACTTTAAATTCAAAGTTGCTATATCATCTGTTGTTTGCCAGGCATTTGAGGTGAAGTGTAACATTTGGCTGTCGAAATAACTGAAGATAGGCAGAAAAAACTTTAAATAGATCGATATTTGTCTCGAAGTCAGTTCAAACAAAGGTATGACGGCACAAAGTAAAAATGTGACCAATTTTTCTGTTGCTACTGTGAGTAGAATTTCATCTGACTTTAATTTAAATCTCTGTTTATTTGAACATGGAGTTAGGAGTGACACGCAGCTTGATGAAGAAACTACAGAAGAAATTTCTACTTAAAGCTGAGTATTCCAGGTTCCTGCTATTTGCAGTAGGACTCTGAAGTTCACCGAAGTATTACAGATCGTACACCACATCCCACAACATTTTTTCCTAAAGGATTTTGGACGGTACGCTGAGCGTGTGTTGTGTTTTAAAACGGGAAAGGTAAATTCTCAACTTGCGGTCTTTGTGCCCCCATTAAAGGTTAAACGTTTTGCAACCAAAATGGGATTTTTGATGTCACTTAATCTCCTAAACGGAAGTAACTTTTCACGGACTGTGACTAACTTCCTAGGGGTCAAAGCTAAAATCTAGAGAATGGTTGTTTGAAATCTATAAATACAAAAGATAAATTTCATACATCAACCAACTTCTAGAATGTTAACAAATAACACGCAAGCTTTGATCTATTCTCGGTATACAAAACTGAGTTTGTGTGAGGGAAAAAAATGAAAATATCTGATAGTTAAAATATTAGGTTTGTGAAATGATTACAAGACCATAAATAATCGAATTTTTGCCTGCAAACTGCACAAAATCTTGAGATGACTCACTAACTGTTAAATGCCTACAGTGCCCAAATGTGAGTTATTTGCTCGCCGGATCTCAACACTACAAAAGCAGGTTTGCTCTGGGTGCGTGTTTCCGGGCATATAGTATTCCAATTCTTTTTTATTTTTCATGCATGCATAAAATACTTACCCGCACCTTACATAGAGAGAGACAATAAATTATCATTTAAGGTTGTTTTGATTGTGGTTGTGGTGGTGATGGTGATGGCATTGGAATTGATTGTTTGATAATAAAACGCAGTTAGTTCCTACTTGATCTGACCTGACAGATGAGTTGCCACAAGTACTTAGTTTCCTCAAACTTGGTGTGCACTTTCAAATCATACGAATAGCAAGGCGATAAATTTACATTTTTCCATACAGCAATGATATACTGTATTTCTCAGACAAAGCTACCATATCTGGGTCAAAGGAATAATTTGGGCAGTCAGATACGACGAAGGGATTGGAGTGTAATGGCCGACAAAGTGTCCTTGTTGAGGCTCATTCACAGTGCGCACGCACTATGTGTTGTGTCTGTGCTGCGATCAGAAGCGCGCAGACCTTCTCCGGTTTGTAATAGAAACGTTAACCCCCAGTTACAGCGTAAACACTTTAGGCGCCTAGTTCTGTTCTCGTCCTGTGTTTAACGGTTGAACTTGTTCAAAGATGTGGGACATCAGTGAACTCATACAAGGGTGACTCGCCCAACAAAACAACAATAAACATTTCCTGGTGTATGCAATTTGCTTTGGATTAAAATAAGAGCATTTCCATCCAAATGAGTTTTGTTTAAAAACCCCCTTTTTGTAGTCCGTTTGTTGATATTCGAAATTGTGATTTTGAGATAGAAGAAAAAATTGATTGTTCCTGACATCTAGATGGTATTCTTTCCCGGTACATATTTCTCCTGGTATTCTCGGAGGCTCTAAGGGGTTTAAAAGACTCTGTAATTACTTCATTGGATAAACTGTAGGAAGTGATAGATTGTCGTTAGCAGTGATATTCTCCTATCAGAATGCTTCAAGAGGTGTGGATGCATAGTTCGATTGTGCAATCTGAGTGTTGATCAAAGTGATTTCCGTTTTTCCTATTCCCTAATTAGGAACAGAGTCACTCCCCAACCACTACTGGGATTCTTACTTACACTGCATGCTCTGCGAGCTTGACAGCAATCCTTGAATTATGTTGCACCGTATTTCTTTATTCAAAGTTAATGTGATTTATGATACATTTTGTGTGACAGAGCTTCATGAATTTCCGGTAGGAATGAAAATTTATCCAACAGTCTTCACTTTGGTACAATAAACTGAAATTATTTCGTATGCCTCATAGAACACGCTTTGAAACAGCAACGAAAGTTTCTCATTTGTGATTATATACTTGTTTAATTGAAAAAGAGTTCCGAGGATGGACCGCACCAATTATCACCGAAGCAACAAGTTGGATCTGTTCGCACGGCTCATCCGATATCCCCGGTGATACCAACATCCAAGACTGTAAACTCTCCACCGAAAGCAATGCCCGAAACAATGGATGATGATGATATGCCGGAAAAGACCTCATTACCGCCCACCCGTGGAGAAGATGAGGTAAATCAAATATGCGGATGACCTTTTTGGATAGGTGTGATGAATTTTTGCCTAACTAATTTTTTACTAATTTTTGGACATTGCAATTCAATTCATTTCGTTCAATATTAACCAAACGGAGCTTACTCGTTGGACTGTTTTCTATCAACCTCTAAAGATAGTTTTACATGATGCTTGATCTAAAATTTTAACTTGCCTGTAGTACCGAGTGTTTCGTGAAAGTCCGTATATGTTGTGCACAATTCCCATGTTTATTGAACCTTTTCAGTTGAAAACTATTAATAAGTTTATTTTGGTATTTTATAAATTTATTTTGTTCAGGTCGCCTAATTAAACGATAGTGCAGAGCACCATTTATGTGCCTGTTTTTTCCAAATGCAATTGTGAGTTTCGATGACCATTTAGTGGAACAGTGCACATCATTCGCAAAATGGGAACTGTGACAATCCCGTTGTATCTTTTTGTAGATGCTTTAGACCGTCAGAAAAGTAGTTCATCGTGGAAACCAGATCGTCGCGTGACCTTGACAATTAGGAAGTATCTGAGATTCTTATTTGTGAAAAATCTGTTCCGATCAGCATGGGAAGTGCCAAAATTACACAAGGTTTCCACAGCCAAATAAATGGGTGTCATGCTAGTCTCACGTCTTCCAGTTTATCACTGCTGTCCTAGAAAAGTGTTCGAAATGACCAGTTTGCTCGGTTTGACTTCATATTACTTCACAATTCCAGTAATTTGCTGATTTTGAATCATTTTCAAATATTGATTTGTGTTGTAGAATAAGGTTGATAAACTGTTGCGGCTTCACGTTCTTTATGCATTATTCAACGAGCTTGTAGATGACCGTGAACTAACACTACTCCAGATGATGTACCACCACGGAGGGATTTCCTCAGCTAACCTAAAAACTAACGTTGTCCAAATGAAAAGAGACACTTTTGTTGCTATTCTTTGGGTTCAACAATGACCGTGAAGCGTTTCATGTACCGGTGTGGTTATCATTTGCTTCACTTCGCCCATTGTTTTCCAGTGCTCCATGTACTCCATTCACCTGCACTTTTGAACCGTGTTTGGCGTGAAGCCATTAGCCTTGTTTCTGGTCCGTGCCTAACAGTCACTCTTAAACCACTTGCCCATTGTCGTGCAATCGCCCTTCTGTCCATTTTCGATCACAGACTTTTCTTCGTCGTCGACCACCGCTCAGATCCCTTCACCACTTNTCCCATTTCTCCAAAAGTGTATTGAACGGTGTCATTCATATTCAGTTTCTCAAGAAATGTGTAATCTTACTCTTCTTCTCCCACCTTTACCTCTCTCCCATTGAAGCGCAGTACGATAGGCCTGATGATTACGGGTTCTACCAGTTTGTTATGTATTTTTGTCGTCCTATAATTAAAAGTTGGATATATTTCAATATATAAGAACAAGAAGGAAGAATTAACTCCAAAGACAAATTTTATACTACTTATGTCCATCA